CTAAGATACTCTACTTCAGGACCAAGAATCTTTTCTCCATCTTCAATTGGACGAATTAAATAATTTTCATATCAAGTGATTGAATAACCATAGGTGATGCCAATTGACGTGCATTATCCATATAAAAACGTTTATGTAAATTGATGAACAAATAATTTTTTTGGGAGGTGTTCAATCCGTAACCCAAGACAAAATTTGGTTTTCCTCAAATCTTTCATTTCAAATTTATTTTTCAAATAATCTGTAGTTTTTTTTTGAGTTCTTCAGAAGTTCCAATTAAATTTAAATTATCAACATGAACAGGCACAATTGCAAATAAATATTTGTTTTCTTTATAAAAAGATATGAGCAAATATCACCAATTTTATAACCCCCTTTTAACAAATATTTATTAAAGCGATTATACCATATACATTTGGATTGTTTCAATTCATATATTGAGAACATTGTTTTTGGACATGTGTCCATTATGAGAGAATATATTTCTTCATAGTCCATTTCAGGTCTTTGTGAGAAACTTTAAGCTACGAATTCGACTTTGTATTTTGTAATTTCATTATTTTCATTTCTTTTCCGCACAAAAACCCATTTATATCCCACATGGATTATATTTTTAGGTTTTAGAACTATTCTCCAAACACTTTTCATCCCTGTTTGAGGCAAATTATTTGTTTCATTAAAATGAAATTTCTAGCCGTTGGACACACAATTGGGCCCCACACAAGAGATGAAAAGTCAACAAATTCAGTTGGATGTGATGGTTAACGGAAACATTTTTCATTCTTTTGTTTAAATAATTTGCCTCAAACAGGGGTTTCATTTCTCTAAGGAATTAAATTTCTCCTGTATGACTTCTTTCCATTTTGGCCAATCAGTTCTATGTTGACAGTATTTAACAGACTGTGGTTCATAATTCTCATTTTACATAATATTAAAAGCCACTTTAAAGGTAAAAATATTGTCTATAACAATATTATTTCGTTCTCATAATTTATGAGATAACATATAATTTATTGAAATTTCATTATTTTCAAAAAATCATATTTTCAATATTTGATTGATCAATCTTTTCTAATGTTACTTTTTTCGAAATTCTTGGTTGATTTTTCTCTTTCAAGTTTCTTTTGAACCAATTGACCGACCACGTTTCTGACTTATTCGAAATTCATTTGCTACAACAGATTGTCCTTCAAGGATATTAATTTTTGTTGGAATATTTTCTGTACATATATATGACTTTATCACTTTTCTCGTGTCAACAAATATATCAGGTAATTGATTTGCAACTTTTTGTAAATGAATGATTTTTCAATTTCTTGCTTATATTGATTGCTAGAGGGGATTAAAGTGAGATAAAATTGTTTAATTGCAAAAAAAAATTACATTGTTTTTCAGAATGTAGCTTTATCCCTTCAAAAGTTGGAAAATTTCCTTTCATTAAAATGATAATCTGCAAAACGTGCAGTAAA